AGCAGTGGCGGTAGAGGAAGCAGCAGCATCAGAGACAGCAGCAGCAGGGGAAGCTGCAGCAGTCGCAGAGGCAGCAGCCTTGGCAGCAGCTGCAGCAGCAGTTGCAAAGGCAGCAGCAGAAGCTGGGGCAGCAGAAGCAGAAGCAGAGGCAGCAGCGGCGGCACAAGTGGCAGCAGCAGCAGTAAGGGACACTGCAATGGCTGAAGAGGCTGCAACGATAGCAGAGGTAGAGGCAGCAGCATTGGCAGACGCAGCAGCAGCTGCAGAGGCAGCAGCAGAGGCAGCAGCAGCAGAAGAGACAAGAGCAAAAGCAGAAGCAGAGGAAAGAGCAGCAGCAGAGGCAGCATCGAAGGCAGAGGCTGCTGCAAAAGCAGAAGCAGAGGCACGAACAAAAGCAGAGGCAGCAGCAAAGGCAGAGGCTGCTGCAAAAGCAGAAGCAGAGGCACGAGCAAAAGCAGAGGCAGCAGCAAAGGCCAAGGCTGCAGCGAAAGAAGAAGCAGAGGCAACAGCAGCAGCAGAGGCAGCAGCAAAGGCAGAGGCTGCTGCAAAAGCAGAAGCAGAGGCACGAGCAAAAGCAGAGGCTGCAGCGAAGGCCAAGGCTGCAGCGAAAGAAGAAGCAGAGGCAAGAGCAGCAGCAGAGGCAGCAGCAAAGGCAGAGGCTGCTGCAAAAGCAGAAGCAGAGGCACGAGCAAAAGCAGAGGCTGCAGCAAAGGCCAAGGCTGCAGCGAAAGCAGAAGCAGAGGCAAGAGCAGCAGCAGAGGCAGCAGCAAAGGCAGAGGCTGCTGCAAAAGCAGAAGCAGAGGCACGAGCAAAAGCAGAGGCTGCAGCAAAGGCCAAGGCTGCAGCGAAAGCAGAAGCAGAGGCAAGAGCAGCAGCAGAGGCAGCAGCAAAGGCAGAGGCTGCAGCGAAAGCAGAAGCAGAGGCACGAGCAAAAGCAGATGCTGCAGCAAAGGCCAAGGCTGCAACGAAAGCAGAAGCAGAGGCAAGAGCAGCAGCAGAGGAGGCAGCAAAGGCAGAGGCTGCAGCGAAAGCAGAAGCAGAGGCACGAGCAGCAGCAGCTGCTGCAGCAAAAGCAGACGCTGCAGTGAAAGCAAAAGCAGAGGCAGAAGCAGCAGCGATGGTGGTGGCAGTTCCACTCTCCCACGCTCGCCCTCACTCTCGCCGGCACGACAGACCAGCAAGTGGAAAGAAGCAGGGCGGACGGGGGAGAGGAGGCAGGGGAGGAGCAGGGGGAGGGCTGGTTGGGGGGGCAGGGCGGGCAGTGGTTGCAATCGCAGGAGGGTTGTTTCTGCTGGCGATTGGTGCTACCATTGGCAACGCGGGCCAGCAGAGCAGAAGGCAGAAGAAACCTTTGTACCATGAGGTGCGTGGCATTCTGTGCGTTTGGGATGGATTCTGTGCGGTTTGAGGTGTGTTCTATGTGTTGGGGGAGGGGGTGGGGAGGGCTGGTTGGGGGGACAGGGCGGGCATGGTTGGTGGGCAGAGGTTGCTACTCCAGGAGGGCTGTTTCTGCTCCACCCCCAGAGCAGGCGACACCATGTGTGCCATAGCCGATCATTACTGTGTGCGGGTGGATCCCTAGTGTGATCCTAAACCCCCCTTCCATCTCCTCTCTCCTCCCATTCACCTCCCCAGGTGGAAGCAGGTGACACCATGTGTGACACAGCCGATCGCTATTGTGTGCGAGTCAACGCAATGAAGTGCGAGTCGCGAGGCCAACCAGGAGGGGCTCGTGGAAGACCCTCACTCACGGGACCTGCCTTCTTAGCCCTCCCTGCCTTCCATGCCCTCCATTTTTTCCCCCAGGTGGAAGCAGGTGACACCATGTGCGGCATAGCTGATCGCTACTGCGTTCGAGTGGATGCAATGGATGAGGCGAACCAGGAGGGCCTGGTGGAAGATCCAGACGTGATCTCTGCCGTCACTGCCCTCCCTGCCACTCCTGCCCTGCTTGCCCTCCTTCCTTTCCCCTATCCCTCCCCTTCAGGTGGAAGCAGGTGACACCATGCGTGGCATAGCCGATCACTACTGTTGCGAGTTGACGCAATGAAAGAGGCGAACCAGGAGGGGCTCGTGGAAGGCCCTCACTCACGGAACCTGCCTTCTTTGCCTCCCTGCCTTCCATCCCCTCCATTTTTTCCCCCAGGTGGAAGCAGGCGACACCATGTGTGCCATAGCTGATCGCTACTGCGTTCGGGTGGATGCAATGAAAGAGGCGAACCAGGAGGGGCTCGTGGAAGATCCAGACGTGATATTCCCAGGAGACCTCCTCGTCGTTCCCATCAAGGAATGACAAATCAGAGCAGCCTTACCAGGTGTGTTTTGAATCAACTCAAAACACACCAAGGTGTCCTGTCTTGATCTTTCCAGGGGACCTCCTCGCCTCGTGGTTTCCCCCAAGGAATGACGGAGCTGCCTCCTCCTATACCAGGTGTGTTTTGAATCAACTCAAAACACACCAAGGTGTCCTGTCTTGATCTTTCCAGGGGACCTCCTCGCCTCGTGGTTTCCCCCGAGGAATGACGGAGCTGCCTCCTCCTACACCATGTGTGTTTTGAATCAACTCAAAACACACCAAGGTGTCCTGTCTTGATCTTTCCAGGGGACCTCCTCGTGGTTTCCCCCGAGGAATGACGGAGCTGCCTCCTCCTACACCAGGTGTGTTTTGAATCAACTCAAAACACACCAAGGTGTCCTGTCTTGAACTTTCCAGGGGACCTCCTCGTGTTTTCCCCCAAGGAATGACGGAGCTGCCTCCTCCTACACCAGGTGTGTTTTGAATCAACTCAAAACACACCAAGGTGTCCTGTCTTGATCTTTCCAGGAGACCTCCTCGCCTCGTGGTTTCCCCCGAGGAATGACGGAGCTGCCTCCTCCTACACCAGGTGTGTTTTGAATCAACTCAAAACACACCAAAGTGTCCTGTCTTGATTTTTCCAGGGGACCTCCTCGCCTCGTGGTTTTCCCCGAGGAATGACGGAGCTGCCTCCTCCTACACCAGGTGTGTTTTGAATCAACTCAAAACACACCAAGGTGTCCTGTCTTGATCTTTCCAGGGGACCTCCTCGTGGTTTCCCCCGAGGAATGACGGAGCTGCCTCCTCCTATACCAGGTGTGTTTTGAATCAACTCAAAACACACCAAGGTCCTGTCTTGATCTTTCCAGGGGACCTCCTCGTCGTCCCCCCCAGGGAATGACAAATCAGAGCAGCCTACTCCTATACCAGGTGTGTTTTGAATCAACTCAAAACACACCAAGGTTCTGTCTTTATCTTTCCAGGGGACCTCCTCGTGTTTTCCCCCAAGGAATGACGGAGCTGCCTCCTCCTACACCAGGTGTGTTTTGAATCAACTCAAAACACACCAAGGTGTCCTGTCTTGATCTTTCCAGGGGACCTCCTCGTGTTTTCCCCCAAGGAATGACGGAGCTGCCTCCTCCTACACCAGGTATGTTTTGAATCAACTCAAAACACACCAAGGTGTCCTGTCTTGATCTTTCCAGGGGATCTCCTCGTGGTTTCCCCCGAGGAATGACGGAGCTGCCTCCTCCTACACCAGGTGTGTTTTGAATCAACTCAAAACACACCAAGGTGTCCTGTCTTGATCTTTCCAGGGGACCTCCTCGTGGTTTCCCCCGAGGAATGACGGAGCTGCCTCCTCCTACACCAGGTGTGTGTTGAATCAACTCAAAACACACCAAGGTGTCCTGTCTTGATCTTTCCGGGGACCTCCTCGCCTCATGGTTTCCCCCGAGGAATGACGGAGCTGCCTCCTCCTACACCAGGTGTGTTTTGAATCAACTCAAAACACACCAAGGTGTCCTGTCTTGATCTTTCCAGGGGACCTCCTCGTGTTTTCCCCCAAGGAATGACAGAGCTGCCTCCTCCTACACCAGGTATGTTTTGAATCAACTCAAAACACACCAAGGTGTCCTGTCTTGATCTTTCCAGGGGACCTCCTCGTGGTTTCCCCCGAGGAATGACGGAGCTGCCTCCTCCTATACCAGGTGTGTTTTGAATCAACTCAAAACACACCAAGGTCCTGTCTTGATCTTTCCAGGGGACCTCCTCGTCGTCCCCCCCAGGGAATGACAAATCAGAGCAGCCTACTCCTATACCAGGTGTGTTTTGAATCAACTCAAAACACACCAAGGTGTCCTGTCTTGATCTTTCCAGGGGACCTCCTCGTGTTTTCCCCCAAGGAATGACGGAGCTGCCTCCTCCTACACCAGGTGTGTTTTGAATCAACTCAAAACACTCCAAGGTTCTGTCTTGATCTTTCCAGGAGACCTCCTCGCCTCGTGGTTTCCCCCAAGGAATGACGGAGCTGCCTCCTCCTATACCAGGTGTGTTTTGAATCAACTCAAAACACACCAAGGTGTCCTGTCTTGATCTTTCCAGGAGACCTCCTCGTGGTTTCCCCCAAGGAATGACGGAGCTGCCTCCTCCTATACCGATGTAATCCTTCCCTGCCTTTTGAGTGGACTCGAACTTGGAAAGTCAAACTCAAAAGTCTCGTCTTTTTAATCGTCGATCAAAAGACTTTTGGGGGAACCTCCGTCTCATCCCACCAAGGAATGCAGAGCGATGTTTTATCTTTCTTTCTTAACCCCTCTTTCTTGCCCGCCCCCTACTCTTCCTCTCTTCCGTTTCCCCCCAGGTGAGACCAGGTGAAACCGTGTGTGCTATAGCTGACAAGTACTGCCTCCACCCCGACACGGTTATTGACGCAAACGAGGGGAGGATGGCCGAGGACCCAGATATTATCTTCCCGGGCGATTTGATCTTTATTCCCAAGTGATTTCTCTGAGCTATTTGTTGAAATAACGGTGGTTGTCTTTATTAGTTGTAGTGGCACTCGGATGGAAAAATACTTTCCTTGCTGACCTATGCAGTAAAAACATTGTGTTTGTGAGGGAATAACTCTTTAGTGGGAGCAATAAGGTGTATGGGACTACATAGGAGACAATAAGTGCAAAATTAAGTTATAATGGTTAATATATTACGTTGGAATGGAGTGTAGTTTTACTCCTTGAATGACCTGCTCCTGTGTTAGCGAGTACAAAGCATCCATGAGGCCAACCCGCAGGGATCCTGGGCCTTTCACGCCTGGAGCTGCTGAAGCCGCTTCTGATGCGAGCCTGAATGCACGGATAAAGTAGGCAGGACGAGGGGGGAATAAGAGCGAGGGAGAGGAGAAGTGGAGGTAAAATACCTGAAGAGAATGTATTATTTTCTAGGCGCCCAAAGAGAGGACAATTGGAGGTAAAATAACCGAAAAAAAAGTCTACTATTTTTGAGGCGCCTAAAGAGAGGAGACGTGGAGGTAAAATACCCGGAGATAGCGAGAGCAGAGGCCGTGGCGAGGAGGGGCGGGGAAACAGGACCACCCGGGGCAGCATCAGCATCCGCAGCAGCAGCAGCAGCAGCAGCAACGAAAGCAGCAATGAGAGCAGTGACACTGCAGCCCGTGGCGGTGATGGCTTGAAGGAGTGGCACCCCGTTGTGACACGCCAGCACGGTGTGACCGTTGGTGATAAAGTCTGTTGCTCCTGACACTGCCACCACGGTCCCCCACTCTGCTGCCAGTTGTTGTGCTGCTGCCACTGCTGCTGTTGACGCTACTGTGCTGTCTACTCCCTGGTGGGGGTGTGGGGAGAGAAGAGGGGAGTAGAAGGGAAAGTGGAAAAGGAAGATAGTGTGAGAGATTGTGAGGAGAGTACGTGAGAGACATGTGCCTGTGTGTAACCCGTGTGTTAGCGCTGACGAGACATGCCCGAGCAAGCAGTTCAGACGCAACGCCTCGCACCAACTTTTGAGACGCGCCTCAAGAGTTGATTGTGGGTTGCGTGGTTTGGCCTACCCGGGTGTTTGCGCTGACAGCACCCGCGAGAGCCAGAACTTCCGACGCATTGCCTCTCACCACCGTTGGTCTCAGCGCCAGGAGCTCTGCTGAGGTCTGTGAAAAAAGGGGAGAGAGAGGAAAAATTGTAGCAATAGAGGTGAAAGATGGGATGGCTTGGGCGCACAATAAGAAGGAAGACCAGGCGAGAACAGGCTGGGTTGACTTTTGAGTCGACTCAAAAGTCAACTCTGGGCGCACAATAAGAAGGAAGGCCAGGCGAGAACAGACTGGAAACAACATCGAGCCTACCTTGGTTCGGTATGACGTGGCACCACAACCCACAGGGTCCAGGACCCACGGCCGATTCCAGGCAGAAATAACTTTGGCTGCCCGTTTCATGGAGTCCACCCAATCAGGGCTCAGCGTGCCGATGTTCACGTAGAGCGCCGATGCCAGGCTGGCAAACTCCTCCACCTGGCGGCTCGAGGAGAGAATGGGGGAGAAAGAGAAGGGGGGAAGGGGGAACTTAGAGGGGAAGGGTGGTGGGGAGGGTGAGGGGAGGGGGGTGGGGAGGGGTGGTGGGGAGGGGTGGTGGGGAGGGGTGGTGGGGAGGGGTGGTGGGGAGGGGTGGTGGGGGTTTTGGGGGAGAAATGGACAGGGGGAGGTGTGGTGTGGGTGTGGGAATGTTTCCTGGCAAAATCCTCTCCTTGCGGGGCTCGAGGGGGAAGGGGAAGGGGAAGGGGGGAAGGGGGGGGGAGGGGAGGGAAAAAGGGGGAAGGGGAAAGGGGGGGGGAGGGGGAAGGGGAAGGGGGAGGGGGAGGGGAAAGGGGGGAGGGGGGAGGGAAGAGCGGCGCACGTCTTCTAAGGAATGTACCATGACCGGCGCGGCGCCAGCGGCGAGGAGAGTGTTGGCAGCGGCGTCCATCGACGGGGGGTGTGGCAAACCACACTCAACACCTGCGCATCTCTTTTAAACCGCACCTCTTCTAAGGAATGCACCATGGCCGGGGCAGCGCCTGCGGCGAGAAGGGTGTTGGCAGCAGCATCCATCGAAACGAAGTTGGTGATGCAGTGAACCAGAGGGCGGCTCGCGCGCACCGCTACCAGCGCCTCCCACGCCGCTGCTGCCAACGCCGGGTCACCTCCTGCGGGAAGCGGCTCGTCGCCCCCTGCCGCCGCACGTGCCGCCGCTGTTCGTGGCGACGAGCAGATCCGCGCGCGGGAAGGTGCCCCGCGGAGGGGCGAGCGGGGGAGGACGCATGGGGAAGTGGTGCGCACGGCACTTGCGGGGGGAATGCGCGGGAACGTGAGGGGGAAGGCGGAGACTAGCGGAGGGGCCGTAGAACGGACGGCAGATCTGATATGGGTGGCGAAGAACAAAGGCTGAAGGCGAGTCGCCATGGATTTGTTCAGGATTCGAGCCGACAAAAGAATCTCCAGGTGACTTTTGAGTCGACTCAAAAGTCACCTAAAAAACAATCTCCAGCTTTACAGGAAATAAAATACAATCGCTGTGAATGTTATGGATTCGAGAAGCGAGCCGTTCGGAAATGCCCTGACGGCAAGCAGCAAGCCTTTCAAGCTAGCGATGTTGGCGCAAATTGTGGGTGATCATGCTATGCATTTTTGTGCGACCCTTGGTTCCACCATCGTCTGGGGGTGATTCTGACGGCCAGGCAGGATTCGTTTTTTCCTCAAGATCAGACCCAACCGTTTTGGATGCTTAGCGAAACTCTTTCAACCGCATGGAAGACTGTGATGATTTTCTAATTTGGATTCACCATGTAAATTACAGCAAATACTCGCAAATTTGCTCGCTAAGCCGCTTCGCATTAGGAAATACAGAACGACTTCAAGACGGAAAACTGAAAGTGCTCTGCGAAATGTTACCAGACCAATCTATATTCAGCTCATTCTTAGGGGATCTCCGCCACACTCGATAGAAGAAACCCTCCTCTGTCACAGTTTTCAAGCCTCATCATCCAGGAATCAGCCTCCGATATAAGCACGCTGACCAGCCTCCCCAAATTCATAAATCCTGACAGCTCCTAGCAACGGTCTTCTTTTTCCTAACGCCCCTTTACTGCCTGATCGTCCCACTTCCGCCGTTTCAGGCGGCATTGTTCAAGGGAAAGTGCAGGTATTCCCTTTTTCCCTGTGTAACCCGACTCGCTAAGGATCGCATGTCGCGATCGCCTACCTGCAGTTGAGCCAATGCGCTGCTTATCCAACCAGTTTTTGCCAGGTCAGCTTTCTGTTTTCCTGATATGCCTAATTATCAAAGCTAGAATGTACCATGACGTTTCAAATCGCGTTTATTCTTCATAATATCAAGCGTACTTGCGTTTCTTTCGCTGTCATTGTTTCCATTGGGATTACCAATACCTCGTTCCAAGCACTTTCCCTACAAGCGTCTGGCTGGATGCATTTCATATCTCACCAAACCAAACTTAACCGAACCTTTTTCAATTTTGCTCCTCCTGGCTTACTGCGTCACCGGCAGTGGTGACTCCTTGCCTTCGCTGCTTCGGCTCCTACGCGCGGATTTCGACTTTTCCGCAAGTTGCCGCTGCTCCCGCGGTTCTCCGCATTTCCGCGGCTTCCGCGGTTCTCCGCCTCTCCGTCTCCGCTTCCGCTTCCGCCTCCGCCTTCACCCGCAGCAGAACTCTCGCTTGGCGTTCCGCGAACCCTCTCTCTGCGCAAATTGCAGCACCTGTAACAGCGTTCGCGAAACCTTCGCGAAAATCAACGAGCGTGATAGCGATGGCGAGCGAATCTGCGGCGGCGGCGGCTGAAGCGGTTAAGACGATGGAAATCAGCGACACAGAGAAGGTGGGGGGAGGAGTGGGAAGGGGATGAGCGAGAGAGAGGTGTTTAAACCGGCTCATATGTTTTTTGTCGACTCTACAGTTAGGGTTCACATCAACGATTGTCCAACCTGAATGCAATTTTCCGTCCCTTCCTCCCCTCTCCCCCCTCTCCCCTCTCTTCTCCCCTCTTCCCCCCGCCTTTTCCCCCACGCGTTTCCCCTTATCCTCTTCAAACGCGCCGCCCCTTTACCTTTCCTTTCTCTCCCTCCTTCCCCTCTTCTCGTTTTACTGCCCGTCAGGGTCAGGAGGGCAGCGTGCGTGAGCTGGTAGCCCAGCTCGTGGCGCAGTCCCTGGCGAAACTTTTCCCGACCTGCCCGATCTGGAGCCGCTGGTTACCACGTGCAACAACCCCAAGTTCGGGGATTACCAATGGTGCGTCTTCCCTGCTTTGTTAGGTCACGTGCTTCACATGCTGCAACGGCACGTCTGCACGTGGCTTTAGGCAAGTGCCTCACATGTTGCAACCACTAGTACCAGCTGTTTATTTCTAAGTCCGTCTGCTGCCTCTAGGGCTGCTTGTCTATCTGTCCATCCATATTCTTGACAGTGTTTGGCTTTCTGCCCGTCTCTCTTCCTCTTTTTCAAAGTCTTTCCGTCTTTCTTCCTTTTTGAAAGACGGTCAAAGGTCATATTATCTCTCTTCAGCTCGTTTTGTTGTCTCCTCTTCCCCCCCCCCCCCCCCCCCCATGCGTGCAGCAACAACGCCATGGGCATCTGGTCGCGCATCAAGGGCTACACCACCGAGTTCAAGGACCTCAATGCCATTCTTGTATGAAGTGAATTTTTGAGACGTCTCAAAAATTCACTTCATACACGAGTTCAAGAACCTCAATGCCATTCTTTGAGTCTGACTGTCTGACCAAACAATCTGCTCTGCTTCTCTCCTTCATCTGCCTGTCCCTCTGCCCGTCTGCCTATCTGCCTCTGATCCTCCCCCCCCCTCATGCGCACAGCAACAACGCCATGGGCATCTGGTCGCGCATCAAGGGATCCACCACCGATTTCAAGAACCCCAACGCCATTGGCCAGGTGAGAGTTGGTGATTCGGGAGAAGGAGCACCAATGGTATGGCAGCAGAGAAACCACATGCTGCAGCAGTAGCAGAACATCCCCAATGGCGTTGTCAAGAACCGAATCACACTTTCCTGAACACCCCCAATGGCATTGTCAAGAACCGAATCACACTTTCCTGAACACCCCCAATGGCGTTGTCAAGAACCGAAGCGCACTTTCCTGAACACCCCCAATCCACCTTTTCTCAGAAACCAAAGAACCGAAGCCTATCCATTCATCCCCACTTTTGTACCCTTCCCTCCCTCCCTTCCCAGGCAATTGCCAAGAACCTGCCGCCCTCCCCAATGGTGGAAAAGACGAGCATCGCCGGCCCGGGCTTCGTGAACATCGTTTTAACGCAAGCCTGGCTGGAAGACCACGTGTCTGGCGTCTTGAAGGGCGCTGGCATTGCTGCCTGGGCGCCCAGGCTGCCCGTGAAGCGGGCAGTGGTGGACTTCTCGTCGCCCAACATCGCCAAGGAGATGCACGTGGGGCACCTGCGGTCCACCATCATTGGTGACACGCTGGCCAGGATGCTGGAGTACTGCCACGTGGAGGTGCTCAGGAGGAACCATGTTGGCGACTGGGGGACGCAGGTAGGGGGAACGAGGGGGTGCCTGGGGCTCAGGTTCTCGGGTTTTCAGTTCCAGGGGACCAGGGTTTTAAGGGTGGGTCTGGTCGCCCAAGGTGCCCGTGAAGCGGGCAGTGGTGGACTTTTCGTTGCCCAACGTCGCCAAGGAGGGGCACCTGCGGTCGACCATCATTGGTGTCACGCTGGCCAGGATGCTGGAATACTACTGCCACGTGGAGGTGCTCAGGAGGAACCACGTTGTGGACTGGGGCACCCAGGTAGGGCAAGGGTTTAGGGGTTTTGGATCGCGTGGATTAAGTTGTTCCAGGTTTTGGGATTAAGAGAAAGGTGAAGGGGATGCGGGAGTTCTGCCACGTGGATATGCTCAGGTTCAGTTGCGTTGGCGACTGGGGCATGCAGGTAGAATAAATGGCTGCAGCTTGGATGGTTCAAGGGGTCAGGGTCTAGGGTTCAAGGGGAGACTGAAGGGCATGCAGTTTGGCATATTGATTGAGTGCCTATTCGACAAGTTCCCTGACTGGGTGGCCGTGGGCGAGTTTTGAGGCGCCTCAAATCTAGGGTTCAAGGGGAGACTGAAGGGCATGCAGTTTGGCATATTGATTGAGTGCCTATTCGACAAGTTCCCTGACTGGGTGGCGGTGGGCGAGCGGGCTATAGGCGATCTGCAGATCTTGTACAAGGCAGCCAAGAAGAGGTTTGAGGAGGACGCTGAGTTCTAGAATAAGAGATGTTTGCTCAGCTCACCACCCCCCTCCCTCCACTCTTCCCATCCCTCTTCTCCTCCCTCCTTCCTCCACGCACACACACACCCCTCCACACCCCCCCATGCAGTTCGGCATGCTCATTGAATACTTGTTCGACAAGTTCCCCGACTGGGAAACCATCGGCGATCAAGCAATTGGAGATCTCCAAGTCTTTTACAAGGCGGCCAAGAAGCGCTTTGATGAGGACGCGGAGTTCAAGGAGAGGGCGCAGAGGGCGGTGGTGAAGCTGCAGGGCGGGGAGGAGGAGTACCGCAAAGCGTGGGCCAAGATCTGTGACGTCAGCAGGAAGGAGTTTGACCTGGTTTACCAACGGCTGGGAATCAAGCTAGAGGAGAAGGTGAGCTTTGTAGAGTTTGGCTGGCTGGTGTTTCTGCAGTGGTAGAAAACGGTGCCCGGAGGTGACGGGGAACATAAGGGTTTTTTTTTTTCCCTGGCTTAGGAGGTGAAGGAGAGGGCGCAGAGGGCGGTGGTGAAGCTGCAGGGGGGGGAGGAGGAGTACCGTAAGGCATGGGCCGAGATCTGTGACGTCAGCAGGAAGGAGTTTGATCTTGTGTATCAGAGGCTGGAAATCAAGCTAGAGGAGAAGGTGAGTTCTTGAGCAGTTTGTTTGTCTTGCTGGTGTTTCTGTGCGGCTGAAATGGGTTCTTTCCCAGGGTTGGGAGGTGAAGGAGAGGGCGCAGAGGGCGGTGGTGAGGCTGCAGGGCGGGGAGGAGGAGTACCGTAAGGCATGGGCCAAGATCTGTGACGTCAGCAGGAAGGAGTTTGATCTTGTGTATCACCTTCTGCTCGAGTTTAATCCCCAGGAGTTTGATCTGGTTTGATCTGGATTCAACTCAAGGAGAAGGTGAGTTGGCTTGAGAGTTGGGGGGTTTGCCTTGCTGCGCTGGGCTTGGCCTGTTTCTGGCTGGGGATAGAGCTGAAGTAGTGTTTTGAGACGTCTCAAAACACTACTTCTTTCACGTGGCTTTTCTGGCTGGGGATAGAGCTGAAGAGGATGGGTGGACTTCAGCCGTCAAAGACAATGGGAGGCCTCCAACCTGCCAGTGTTTTTCACTGTGCTTCTCTCTTCCCCTCACAACCCCTCTCCCCCCTCACAACCCCTCTCCCCCCTCACAACCCCTCTCCCCCCTCACAACCCCTCTCCCCCCTCACAACCCCACACAACCCCTCACAACCCCTCTCCCCCCTCACAACCCCTCACAACCCCTCACAACCCCTCTCCCCCCTCACAACCCCTCACAACCCCTCACAACCCCTCTCCCCCCTCACAACCCCTCACAACCCCTCACAACCCCTCTCCCCCCTCACAACCCCACACAACCCCTCACAACCCCTCTCCCCCCTCACAACCCCTCACAACCCCTCACAACCCCTCTCCCCCCTCACAACCCCTCACAACCCCTCTCCCCCCTCACAACCCCTCTCCCCCCTCACAACCCCTCTCCCCTCTTCATGCAACCAGGGCGAGTCGTTTTACAACTCGCGCATCCCTGCCGCTCTCGAGAAGCTCAAGGCAGCAGCAGGGCTGGTGGTGGAGAGCGGGGGGGAGGGGGGAGGGGGGGGGGAAAGGGATGGGGTTGGGTACCTTTTGGTTGTTCTTTTCTTCTCATTTCCAACCCACCCACTCTTCCCTTCCACCCATCAACCAGGGCGAGTCGTTTTACAACTCGCGCATCCCTGCCGCTCTCGAGAAGCTGAAAGCCGCCGGGCTGGTGGTGGAGAGCGAGGGGGCACAGTGCATATTCGTGGAGGGTCACAAGGTGCCTCTCATTGTCGTCAAGAGCGACGGTGGCTTTAACTATGCCACCACGGATCTTACCTGCCTGCTGTGAGTTACTCTCTCAATACCGACAAGTCCATCTGACTGTTGGGGCTGGTGGTGGAGAGCGAGGCCGCGCAGTGCGTCTTCGTGGAGGGTCACAAGGTGCCTCTGATCGTTGTCAAGAGCGATGGAGGGTTCAACTACGCCACCACTGACCTTACTTGTCTTCTGTGAGTGGCCTGACTGCGGTAGTGTGGAGCTGTGGGGAGTGTGAGAAGGAGAGCGGACAGGTGAGTGAGAGCAAGGGGGCGCAGTGCATATTCATGGAGGGTCACAAGGTGCCTTTGATCGTGGTGAAGAGTGATGGGGCTACTGACCACGATCATAGTTGACCTCACCTGCCTGCTGTGAGTTACTCCCTCGGTAGTGAACGGGCCAAGGTGCCCTGCAGTGCGTCTTCGTGCCTGCTGTGAGTTGCTTGGTGTGAGTGGTTGCTGTGAGTTGCTTGGTGTGAGTGGTTGCTGTGAGTTGCTTGGTGTGAGTGGTTGCTGTGAGAGGAGACGAGGGGGCCCTGATGCTGAAGGGTATTTTTGAGAATTCTCATAATACGTCTCCGTGCCTGCTATGAGTTGCTTGGTGTGAGTGGTTGCTGTGAGAGGAAGGGGCCCTGCAGCACCCTGAGTGGGTGTTCAAGGTGCTTTTGAGGAGCGCAAGGTGCCCTGCAGTGCAGTGCATGCTCGTGGAGGGTCGTAAGGTGCCTCTCATCGTGGTGAAGAGCTATGGGGGTTCTAACTATGCCACCATCAAACTCACCTGCCTGCTGCGGGTTTCTTTCTCCCTCCCTCTTGACACTCACAGGCCATTTTCGACTTGAGGGTTTTGAGGCGTCTCAAACGACTCCTTTTATCACGTGGCAAACTCACTCACCTGCCTGCTGCGGGTTTCTTTCTTCCTCCCTCTTGACACTCACAAGCCATTTCCGACTTGAGGGGATAGGAGAGTGAGGTGGCGAGCCCCTCACTCGTTAAAAATCGAGGGAGGGGGGTATCAGGCTGAATCTGTTTATCCTGAAAATACAGGAGAGCGAGGTGGCGGGCCCCTCACCCACTTCCTGTCTCGCCCCCCTCTGTTCATTCCCTCTGTTCATTCCCTCTTCCCCACCCTCCCCTCCATCTCTCACCCACCTCCCTCCAGCTACCGCATAGAGGAGGAGAAGGCGGAGTGGGTCGTGTACGTCACGGACGTGGGCCAGTCGCAGCACTTCGACATGTTCTTCAAGGTAGGATGCTCCCCTCTCTCTTCGCTCGTGTAGGTGAGCTGCTTCCTTCCTTTAAGCGCCTCAGAAATCCTTTCACTTGGCGTGGGGCAGTCGCAGCACTTCGACATGTTCTTCAAGGTGAGCTGCTGAGCTGCTTTGCTCTCACTTCGTTTGCCTAGGTGACTCGCTTTTCTAGGCTCTTTAGTATTCGTCTCACTTGGCGTGGGGCAGTCGCAGCACTTTGACATGTTCTTCAAGGTAGGATGCCGCCCTTTCTTGGTTTTTGTAGCGATTCCAAAGGAAACTGTGACACGTTTTTTACGCTCCACTGCTTTCTCGCTCTGGTTCTCCAATAAATTTTCCAAAACTAAAACCACATGCACTCTCGTCCATCCCTTGCCCCCTCCCTCCCTCTCTCTCTCCCTCCCTCCCTCCCTCCCTCCCTCCCTCCCTCCCTCCCTCCCTCCCTCCCTCCCTCCCTCCCTCCCTCCCTCCTCCACGCCTCAGGCGGCTCAAAAGGCGGGCTTCTATGCTGGCAAGGCCAAGAAGGGCAAGGCAGCTGCAGCGAGTGAGGAGGGAAGCACAGCACCTGCTATTCGTGTTGATCACGTGGGGTTCGGGCTGGTGCTGGGCGAGGATGGGAAGCGGTTCCGCACGCGTAGCAGCGAGGTGGTGCGGCTGGTGGACCTGCTGGACGAGGCTGTCACCCGCGCCAAGCAGGGGCTTGTGGAACGAGGTGGGTCAGTCAGGGGAGTGGGTGGTGGGGGTGGGTTGAAGGAAGAGTGGGAGGGCAGCAGCTCCATGTGAGGGGCAGCAGCAGCGAGTTGGTGCGGCTGGTGGACCTTCTGAATGAAGGTCACGCCCTTTGCATTGAACTCGGAAAAGACTCGTAATTCCTTTGGTTTGCAGTTCGCTCCCATGGGTCCCTCTTTACATGAAGTTCGCTCCCATTCTACCTCCCTCCCTTTTTGGAACTTTTTAACCGGACCCCATCAGGCCGGGAGGGCGAGTGGAAGGAGGAGGAGGTCAATGCAGCAGCAGCAGCTCTGGGCTATGGAGCAGTCAAGTGAGTGCTTGTACGGGGCGTGAAGTGAAGTGCCAGTATGGGGCGTGTTTGTAAGAAATGAACACTCAAACGTGGCCTGATGGATATAGTGTGCTCTGAGTCAACTCAATGCATCCACTGCTGCACTGGGCTTGATGGTTTGCTCCGGGGCGGTTGCGCTTTGAGCTACGAGCTAAGATTGATTGATGTGTCATGGTTTGTGTGTGGCAGTCTTGCGACTGCTTGCACTGTGAAGGTAACATGGTTGTTTTTCTTGACTTCTTTCGTGAGATCTTTCCTAAGTTCTTTCTTCAGTTTCAGAAACTCTAATTTCTGTTGCCGCCCCTTGATCTCCCCCACCTAAACCTTTTCCTCCCTGCCCTGTGTAATCGCAGATACGCTGATTTGAAGAACAATCGGCTCACCAACTACACATTTGACTATGACCAAATGCTGGATATGAAGGTGAGATTAGCTTTTTGTCGCAGGTGGTTTCATACAATTCTCGAGAAAAACACAGCAATAGACTCACCAACTACACATTTGACTATGACCAAGTGCTGGATATGAAGGTGAGGATATATGCTTCTATTATGCCGGTTTTTGTTGTAAACATTTGGCCTACACATGGTGTACCGGCTGTGCTGTAATGCTTTTGTTTTTCAGCTGCATGCCAATCGCTCCTTCCTGCTGCACCCTCCTTCCCCGCTTTTCCCGCTTTTGTTTCTCCCTTTGCCTACCCCTAACCTGCATGCTTTTGAGGCGCCTCAAAAACGACCTCAATGCCTACCCCTAACCTGCATGTTTTTAAATGGTTAACAGCAGCTTGTTCTTCTTGTTCCACTTTCCTCTCCCTACCCGCCCCTTCCCAACCCCCCTCACTCCAGGGCAACACGGCGGTCTACCTGCTGTACGCACACGCGCGTATCTGCTCCATCATTCGCAAGTCTGGGAAGAACGTAGAGGAGATTGTTCAGGTGCGCACAACAAAGCCTTTAGTGAGGTCTACGTGGGATGGTGAGTTTCCTTTTCATGAGGGATTACACAAATCTACTGCGGCAAGGTGTATTGGTCTAGGCGTTTAGGCATCTGAAATAGCACTTCGCAGTATGCTGTGCTTATGCATCTGAATCCGTGTCTGATAGTTTTCACCCACTCAGTTTCCCCTTTGCATCTGCCTCGATTCGTCTCCCTTTTCTTTTTGCTGCTTCAGAGTGGTACTTAGCTCAGATTGGACCACTTGAGTCATAGACACACGTATATTTCTTGTCCATCCTGTCCACTTGCTTCTCTCCTCCCCCCCCCAACCCCACCCCCCCCCCCCTCCCCTGCTTTTTTGTGTCTTCAGAGTGGAACGAAGCTCAGATTGGACCATCCGAGTGAGCGGGCTCTCGCGCTTGAGCTCAGCCGATTCTCCGAGGTATGTTTTTTATGGCGCATGCATGCAGTGCGTGTGACAATGTATGCTATAAGGGGTCGGCAATTTTAATGTTTTGCACTCCTTTGTCGTTCAGTCTATGCTGTGTTATTTACGCTCTCATTCTCTTCCACCAACCCCACTTGGCTCCCCATCAGGTTGTTGAGAGTGCAGTGCAGGATTTGCTTCCCAACACGCTATGCGAGTATCTCTACAACCTCTCTGGGAGCTTCACCACATTCTACACCAACTGCCAGGTGGTTGGGAACGAGTACGAGGATAGCCGGCTCATCTTGTGCGAAGCCACGGCTGTGGTGATGAGGAAGTGCTTTGAGCTTCTTGGAATCACCCCTCTCTACCGCCTTTAAGAGCTTCAGTTTAGGGTGTTGGACATGTTATACCATACAGACTCTTGCAAATCATGTTTAAATTCGCCACTGTATCTTACTCATTTGATACATCGAGGTTTGTGGTAATGTACAGACTGTCCTCGTGTTCTGCAAGTCTTGCCTCGCGTCCACCTCGCCATCTGCATGCACAGCCAATAGCTTTCAACGTTGCTTGCACGAATGACATGTGATTTGCTGGCAGATCCGCAATCCATGACAGCTTTCCGCTAAAATCCCCACAACCATGGAACCTTACGAACCAATCTCCCGCACTTTAGCCATTCGCCTCACATTTGATTCGTTTGCGTCTCCAAAATCATTTTTCCAGCTGGCGGAAAATCATTCGTATTCTGGATTGTGTTACCTGGCGACCATACACCCCAAGACCCCTTCCTCGTTCCACATTCAACAGCAAAGTGTTCTGCCCACCTTAGCCGTCCAGATGGCACGCTCGTCCGTCTCAGGGCACGAGAACCGTCCGATGCCGAATCTACGATCCGCGAGCCCAACCGTCGTCACGCAATAGAGAGAGTCGAAGCGCCGGGTACAGTACTTCTAGACTTTAGTGAAGGGGCTGTGAATTCCTCCTCCTGACTGCCCTTCCAGCCAGTTTTTCCAAGATAGTTTTGGCTGCACTTACCTCTAATTCAGTCCTTATTCTCCGGGCACACAACATTCCCTTCCATCCTCACCCATCTTGTACAGTTCCGTCCCTATCCTCACCCAGAACATCATCTGCGTTCAAATTGACTTCTGTGAGCTGTCCGGATGGCGCTGGGCTGAACGGAGGGAATATCTTTTTCCCACTTTCACACATAGCCCTTCGCTTCCCTACCAACGTTGTTTGAGAACTTCGAACTGGTTGCTGGAAATAAATCAGGCATAAATGGCGGAGGCCGCTAAACATAGTTGAGAATAATTTAACAGCAGCAATCAGTGCACGGCACCCATAGTATTCCCGTTCAATAATCATTGCTCGTCGCCGGGGCGTAGCATCGTTCACGCCTCTGCGTGTCGGTAACTCTGCTTTTCGACGCGGAAAAGTCGGCCGGCACCATGGCGACCACGACCCTCCCTTCCGGCGTCGGCCCGCTAGCCACGTGCAGACAATCCTGCCACGTGGACGGCCCTTCATTCCGCTGCACGTCGTCCTCCGCTGTTCGGAGGACAGCTTTGCGAAGCGCACTCGCGGGAAGATCGCTCGGCGGAAGCTGGCTCGGGAGGAGGGGGAGGGGGGAATGGGGGAAGTTGCGGGAACGGGGGCAGCGGGAAGATTGCGCGTGAGAGCGTTGACAGAGGAGGAGGTGGATGTTGAGGGGGAGAGCATTGCTGACGACTACTACTCCATTCTCGGCTTGGTACGACTACTGCTCCATTCACCGAGTTACCAAGGTTGTCTTTCTCGCTACTTTCAGTGAAGTGCGGTGCATGTACCTTGGAACTTTTGTTTAGCTTTTGCTTGGTCGAAATGAACGCAAAAGCAATGGAATTAACACTCTTCACCTAACGGTCTCTTTTTCTCCCCCGCCAGACGTGCGACGCGACGCCCGAAGAGATCAAGCGCGCGTACTACGCGTGCATGAAGGCGTGCCGTGCCATCCGGATCTTAGCAACAACCAACTGAGAGTTCGTCACTTGTTAACGGTCCCTTTCGAACAATCCCCTTCCCCCCTCCCACCCCCTCCCCACTTCCCCCCGCCTCCCCCCCCCCCCCCCCCCCCCCCCCCACTCTGCCAGACGTGCGACGCGACGCCCGAGGAGATCAAGCGCGCGTACTACGCGTGCATGAAGGCGTGCCATCCCGATCTCAGCAACAACCACCCCGACAGCGTCGCCTTCTGCTCCTTCGTCAATGAGGTGTACGAGGTGCGTTATAAATACATCATGGTGTACGCGTTAAGGAGTTATCCGCAAATGCCAATATTGATGTGGTGACTTTTGAGACGGCTTTAAAGGCGTGCCACCCGGATCTCAGCAACAACCACCCCGACAGCGTCGCGTTCTGCTCCTTCGTCAGTGAGGTGTACGAGGTCCGTTATTAACTGCTCATCCTGTACGCGTTATTGAGTTATTTGTCTCTGCGTCATCGTAATCGTTCCTCTTCGTTGTTTTCTCAATCCTAAGTTCTTCGTGAGTCTTTCGGTTTCTCTAATTTTCCTGGAATACAGGTACTAAGTGATCCCGAGATGCGGCTCGTGTACGATGAAATCAAGGGCTATTCGCTGACGTCGATCAATCCGTTCATGGACACGCGACACGAGAAAGACCAAGTGTTTGTCGACGAGTTCACCTGCATCGGTGAGTGCAAACGCTTAATACGAGAAACCCTCTGTTGTTTCGAGCGCTTTCGCTGACGAAAAATACAACGCATGCTGTGAAAGAGAAACACCAAGTCACTTTTGAGAAGTCACTTTTGAGAATTCACTTCGAGAATTCACTTTTGAGAATTCACTTTTGAGAATTCTCAAAAGTGATTTCCATATAGCTTTCGCTGACGAAAAATACAACGCATGCTGTGAAAGAGAAACACCAAGTCTTTGTCGACGAGTTCACTTGCATTGGTGAGTGGAAACTCTTTTCTAAAAAATAGACGAGTTCACATGCATCGGCGAGTGAAAAATGCTAGAAACCGAAAGTTCAGCTGGACTCTCCTGCGGACGGACATTGAATTGTTTGCTGTGAAAGCGCCCCCCCTGAATCCGAAATTATTTTTTGCGTATGGAGATATTTTCATTGTAAGGTTTCTCTACATTTATTTCCCGTTATTAGGTTGCAAGAACTGTGCTAATACCGCGGAGGAGACATTCGAGATCGAGGAGATGTGGGGGCGCGCGCGCGTGTGCAACCAGGGCGGCAACCCGCCCGCCAAGATCCAGGAGGCCGTTGAGACATGGTGAGTCAATGCTAGTTAACGTTAGTCAACCGCGGATAATGTTAGTCAACGTTAGTCAGCCTCAGGCAGGCGTGCAACACAGAGCCGTGAATTGCTGAACCTTGCCAGGATTCAAACCGCTTCTTTCACACTCAGCTTTGCTTACACACTCCCCCCCACCCCCTTCTCATCTTCCCCCCATTTTTTCCCTCTGCCCCTTTGCCCCTCCCACCCCCATCCCCCCAGCCCCGTGTCGTGCATTCACTGGGTGACAGCGCCGCAACTGGCGCTTCTAGAGGACGAAATGCGAAGGATGGAGCGAGTGAGCGTCGCCATCATGCAGGCACAGAGCAGCCGCGGGGCCGATGTGTTCATGCAGGCGAATTCCAGATGGGAGAAGCGACGCACGAGAGCACTGGTGAGTTGGTTGTGTTGGTAGCTTAAGACGCCTCACCCAAATGCGCCAGTGATTTGGGGTTGGCGGACGCCTCAAGGTGCAGAGCAGCCGCGGGGCCGATGTGTTCATGCAGGCGAATTCCAGATGGGAGAAGCGACGCACGAGAGCACTGGTGAGTTAGTTGGTTGTGTGTGTTTACATTTGTGGGCGTATAGTTTTGAGACGGCTCAAGGCACAGAGCAGCCGCGGGGCTGACGTGTTCATGCAGGCGAATTCCAGTTGGGAGAAGGAGCCACGCACGAGAGCACTGGTGAGTGTTCGTGTCGCGTTTTCAAGTGAGAACAAGAACACGCTGGAAAACCCCCTTCCTGTTAGCACAATCCTTGGTTTCTGTGCCTCATTCCTCATCACTCACAGCAAGCTGCTGACAGCAAGCTGCTGACAGGCTATATCCTCCCCACTCTCTTGAATCCCCTCCCTTCCGCGCTGTACTTTCCACCCTCTCACTTCCGCCCTCTCTCTCTTTCATCCAGTTCAAATCAAAGGCGTAACGAGCGCGGGCCGGGCACGCAGGCAAGCACAGCAAGCCGCTGTCGTGCTCTATCCCACCCTGTCTTCATTCAGCCCTCTACTTTCTATTTCTCTCTTCCACCCCCTCTCTCTTTGCCGCAGTCCAAAGCAAAGGCGCAGGCAGCAAGGGACGGGAAGGCAGGCAAGTACAACAAGCCACTGTGGGAGACCATGGGTGAGGCCATGGGGATGGGCGGGGAGCGATCGTCGTGGAGAGGCGACACTGATGACGTGTATGATAAGGCTGCTAGCGGTGGTAACCCTATCAACCAGGAGAAAGTCAGGCGGGCCGCGGCAGCGGCTAGAAGATGGAGGGAGTATTCGAGACAGGGGGTGGATCGTAGGAGGAAGATGTATCTTACTGCTGAGTCTGGCGGATCGGATGAGAGTGCTGGGGAGGAGGAGAGGGAGGAGAGGAAGGAGGAAGGAGGTGGAGGGAAAGTGGAAGGGAAGGGGAAGGGTAATCAGGCAGAAGAGAGGGACAGGGAGCCTGTTGCTTTGTAATGTGAGAAGATGATGAAGCCAGCCAGTGCTAGCAGCAGCTGGGGGCGGGAAATGGAGGAGGCTGGTTGTGGATACAGCGTGTTGAAGTGGCTTGGGGATTTCAAATGTAACATGTGTTTGTGGGGAAACTTCTGGACAGCGCTTTGCTTTGCTCCGAAATCAAAGAGAGTGTTCTGGGGGAATTTATATTCCCTAGTGGATGCTCCAACTATTGGGATTTTATTGTTTTGGTAGCTTTCTCAGTTTGGTTCACACAATGGAAGCTAAATGGGTTGGCTGGTGTAGATAGATTGCCAGCATACGGACAGATGTACAGAATGGAAGCTTAGAAGGCTGTTTGGTGTGTATAATTTGCTGGCATTGGATTTAAAAGAAATAAACCTATTGGGCTAGCTCTACAGACTGAGGAAACATTCCTGCATCGACACATATGTCTCAATCCCGTCACAATACCAGTGTACTGTTCTGCACCGCATTACAGCTGATAATCGGACATTTCCATTCCACCGCATTGTATCTCGTTTGATACTTTGTGACAGGCTTCAGGAATGTACCCCGAGATAAGGTGAGCAGCCACTATATCCAGTTATCATCTGGTGCTGGTTAGCAGAACGGGATTTAAGAAAATACTAATATTATTAAACAATGTCACACTGAAGCCCTTCCAGGCTGAGTGAGGCCAACTATTTAGCATCCTTTTTCTTCTTTGGCATGCGGTAACCGCCCACCACACAAGCGTGGTCTCGTTCATAAGGCTCCAGCGTCAGTTGCTCAGCAGGCTTGAACTGCTCCTGCTGCAATTTCGCCACTTCTTTCGCGAACACTGCTTCTGCAGGAACTGTAGAATCGATACAGTTGGCCTTGATGCTTATAACGAAGTGGCCGCCCGTCTTGAGGAAGTAATGAGCGTTCAAGGCAACAATACGAGCCTGGGGGGAATTTTAAAGAGGGAGAGGGATGATGACAGGGAGGTGGGAGGGACGGCGAGGGGAAAGAAGCGGTAGGACAACGGGAAGCAAGGTGGAATCGGGGGAGCCAATAGGGAGGGGTTTTTTTGGGGGGGGGGACAAGGCAGCAGAAGAAAGAGGACGAGGGGAAAAAGGAGAACCCAGAAGTGGGGACAACGATATTGAAAGCAGGGTGTACCGCCTGATAAGGGTAAGACAAACAATCTATCACAAAAGAAGGATTCAAGAAATGTGAGAAGCTGGCAAAAGAAAGCAGGCATTTGGCAGTAACAAAGTTTCTCAGATATTATGAGGAGGAGGAGAGTGGATCGCAGCATCAGCCTCGAAGGACAGAATTTCACGATTTTACATCCGTGTATGGGGAATCCGACTCCAGTCCAATCATCATTAGCTGGCCACTCTCCTCCCTTACATCAAAAGGAATGCTTATAGCGGCTACGGGGAAGAATCGGAAGAAATCTCCAGGAAATCTCCAGGGTGGGACGTAAAAAACAAAACCTGATTGCATCATCTGCATATCACGTGATTTTATCGAATCTTCAATTGCATCAAACCTCGCTTCAGGTAAAGAAAAGAACCTGGTCTGGTTGCGCCACGTCAGCGAAGATCGTATCCACCATGCCGACGAGCATGCGGTAGCGCTGCGGGTGCCTGGCGTCCTCGATAATGGGTATCACGTTGGTTCGCCTCTTGGCCATGTTCACGAGATCGCGACCCGACCGGTGAGAAAACTCCACGGCGTACACGATTCCCGTCTGGGAGAAGAGAGTTAGATGACAAAATGAGAACGGGAATCAGTATTAATGACAAGGCGAATAAAGGATACCAAGGGTAGTCGGTTGGTTGAAGGGGGGGACAGGAGCGGGGACAGGGATTATATGAAGAAATGCGGTTTGGCAAGAAAACCGACAGGACCTTCGCAACTACAGGTGTAGAAATTTCCGTGAAAATCCTTACCGGGCCAACAATATCGGAGACGTGGGAGACGGTAGTGCCGGAGGCGGCACCGAGGTAGAGCACGTGAGACCCGGGTTTCTGCAAGCATTGAACAAGGATGGGCCGTAAGTGAACGAGAATCAGAATAGTCACAAGCTGAACGTGAACAATTACACTGGCATAATTCGTGTGGAAACAAGTAATGCGAGAACGTTTGTAGCGAGGACGTACAATCCAAATGTTGTCGACGCCGCCAAGAATAGCGGCCGCGAGCTTGGATCGGAAAGGATTCCACACTCGGTACTCCACCTTGTTCCCTTCCTCCAACTGAAAGGGTATGGGACAACCAAGTAAGTTTGAGAAACAACGTAAGGGCGAGTGTGTCAATGGACAAATCAGAAGTGCACAAGACCACGGCAAACAAGGCTCTCTGCGCTATAATGGAAACGGGGTGTACACGATGTGGGTATTTCAAATCCGACGCACCTCGACGCTGATCCGCTTCTCGCCGTAAACACTCTCTCCAGGAACCATGTTCCTCGTGACAAGAGCATCCTCCTTCCCGCGAGCAACGAACACGCCCTCATGGCGATGAGGCTCCACCACCACCTTCGCTCCGCCCTTCATACCCCCGCGCCCTCCCCCTCTTCCTCCGCGCCCCCCGCGGCCACCCCTTCCGCCCCCTCGGCCCCCACCACGCCCGCCGAAACCCCCGCGGCCTCCACCACCGCCCCGTCCGCCGAAGCCTCCGCGGCCTCCGCCGCCGCCTCTGCCGCCGAACCCGCCTGAACATAGAGTAGCAGTAAAACACACCGACGAATGGTACGTGTGATCACAAAATGGTATACGGGCTAAAGCATTGAAGGTTCCAAAAACCGCAATGCAAGACGAGAAACTCGCGCGTACCTCTCCCACGAGGAGGCCCCATTCTTCAAGACACGTAGACTATCTGTATTAAGAGAAAGACTCAGTCGTGCCAAGCCCCTGGCTGGACTGCGTTTACTATTCCAAGCTGAAGAAATGATAGTGCCAACGTCGAACTAGGGTCAAGCGCGGAACAACTGCGACAGGCACTGCCTTGGAAGAAAAGGAAATATGTGAAGCTGGTTGTGGGGGGTGGAGTGGGGGCGAGGGTTCCTGGCCTGGCTGGTTCTGGGAGGAGGGCGATTTCAAATGGGGACATGGCCTATGACCATTTTCCAGTTCATGTACCATGGTTTCGCTCGGTTTGTTGCGGTCTACGTTGGTAAAGGTTGGCTAAGGCTGTCATGGAACCGTACGGTACCGTATTGGAAGAATCACGAACCCCCCCAGTCAGGGTTTCTGCTGTGATTGAGTCGAGGGTTTTTTTTGGGAACTGCAAAACTGGAAGGACAAGTCTCTGAGGTGGTTGCCACCTGATTGTAACAAAGCCGTGTGCTTTCGCGAACACGAACATGTAAACCTGATACGGTAGCTCCAAGCACCACAAAAAAATAACACTAAAAGGAAGTGGAGCAAGCTCAATAGTTAGGGCAAATGAGATGTTTTCCCATAAGACAAATGGTTCGTGAAGAAGCTTGCAGTCCCTTCTGATAAAATTAGAAAACTCTTACGCTCAAGCACATTCGGTTCCCATTACAAGGATAAAACATTTTGCCTTCAGAAGGCTTCCTATTCTGTGGGTGTACAACCTTCTGACTACTGTATCATCGATAACATATTGGTACCTACAAACAAGCACACGTTAAGTTATCAGATTCATGCAATCTGGACCGTCCATCCCATCGTGTCCGGATCCACGCCCTTCTGAATGTTAGTAAGCCGTTCATACAGCAGCTGTGAGACCTTCCCTGCTTCTCCATCGCCAAAGGTAGTTCTGGTTTGGTGAAGGGGAGAAAGAGGTCAGGCAGATCAGTATGAAAGGCCATGGCTGACCGGATAAAGGAAGGCGATACAACTTCAAATGCTTGAAAAACACTTGTAAAAAAAACACCAACTGAACCCCTCCAATAACAAATTCTCCACAAAATCTTCCATGTACGTATGAGAGTCAACTTACTTGTTCCCTCTGAATGTCACAGCACCAACCGGAGAGAGCACCACAGCTGTCCCCGTGCAGAAAACCTCATCCGCTGCCAGCAAATCCTCAATTGACACCTGGCGCTCCTCCGTCTAAGCGGCGCGGGTGTGGATGAGAGGGTGGGTGCCGTGAGGGAGGTGGCCACTCAGTGAAAGTGATTCTGAGGCAGGTGGAGGCCAGATGGGACAATTGGAATATGATATGTATTCAAATTGATTCCCAGTCAACCCAGACAGCACTTGCCTTGTAGCCCAGCGTGAACCAGTTCTCACGAATGCTGCAGCGAGTGACGCTTGCATGGATGGTGCCCCTTACACACAACTTGTGTGTTGTCTCATATGTATGACTTCCGACTCGACTCAGGCACTCACCTTGTAGCCCAGGGACTGCACAAGTTCAACGAACTCATGTGATGCCTGCGAGGATGGTGCCCTAATGTGACCAGGCTAGTGCACTGACCAAGAAGTTGACTTCTTACCAAAGAGATTACTCTTTCCTCCAGTCAACTCAGACAGCACTTGCCTTGTAGCCCAGGGAGTGAGCGAGTTCAAGGAAACTCCAACGGGTGATGCCTGGGAGAATGGTGGCCAAACGTTACCAGACTAGTGCAGGGTATTTTTGAGAATTCTCAAAAATACCCTGCAGCATTATGGTGGCCAAACGTTACCAGACTAGTGCATTGACCAAGGAATGGACCCCTTATCTTCCAGTCAACCCAGACAGCACTTGCCTTGTAGCCCAGGGAGTGAGCGAGTTCAAGGAAACTCCAACGGGTGATGCCTGGGAGAATGGTGGCCAAACGTTACCAGACTAGTGCATTGACCAAGGAATGGACCCCTTATCTTCCAGTCAACCCAGACAGCACTTGCCTTGTAGCCCAGGGAGTGGGCGAGTTCAAGGATGCTGCGGCGGGTGATGCCTGCGAGAATGGTGCCGCGTAGGTCCGGAGTGGAGATGACATTGTCCTTCACCACAAAGATGTTGCACGATGACACCTCCTCGATGTACCTGTGAAAGAGGTGGGTTATAGGACAGAGCACACAGTATGGGCGATACATGCACACACAGGGACACACTTTGACACCCCAAGTCCTTCACCACAGAGATGTTGCACGATGACACCTCCATGATGTACCTGGGCAAGAGGTGCGATTGGAAACAGCACACAGCATGGGCGGCACAGACACACTTAGACTCCTCACACCCATCACAACAAAGACATTGCACACTGACACCTCCTTGATGTACTCGATGGGCAGAATCACATGTTGTACACAGCACAAAGCATGTGCAACACAGAGAAGGGAGGGAAGAGGGAGGATGTAGGAGGGAGGAGGGAGGAGGTGGAGGACGGAAGATTGGGCAGTATGTACTTGTTTTCTTGCGCATCAAGGAAGACCACATCGGAGAACCCATCTTGCAACTTTTGAGGCACCTCTTGGGGCGACATTTAAGGCGCCTCAAAAAGCATACAAGCAGCAAAGGCCAAGGTGGACTGCGTACTTGTTTTCTTGCGCATCGAGGTAGACCACGTCGGAGAACCCATCTTGCTTTGCCGCAATCTGAGTCTTGAGCACCTGAGACAGAGAAGCAGAAAGAGAAGGGAGAGTCACGGGAGAGGGACGGGAGGGAGAGAAAGATGGGAGAAGGGGGAGAGAAGGAAGAGAGAAGGGATGGTGTAAAAAGGGGTGAAGGGGATAGTTGGGATGGAGGGGGTTTCATGTGGGATTGGGGAGGGGACAAGGGTGGTGGGGGGAGGTTACAAAATTTCACAGATCTGTTCACAAGTGTTTCCAAATCCACATGGCAATACATTTCATCTCAGTGGCCCCTCTTGAGTACCTCACTTCCCGCCAGTCCTCATCAACCACAAGACAGCTCAGCTCGGCACTGCAGTGCGCCACACAGCACTCACCGGGGAGTAATTCCGCCGGCGCCACATCGCTTTCCCAATCGCTTTGGCACTACCAGTGCCGCCGGGAGCAGCGCGGTGGTACAGCTACTCCACCTTGAGGGTGATGGGCGTGAGCACCGCACTGCACTGCACTGCACTCACCGGGGAGTAGTTGCCGATGGCCTTGGCACTCCCAGTGCCACCAGGGGCAGCGCGGTGGTAGAGCTCCTCCACCTTGAGGGAGATGGGCGTGAGCGTGGCGCCCTTGAAATAGTTCCCCACAGGCGACACATAGATGAGCAGCGAGTACTCGGGTGCTGGTGCCAGTCCAAGAACTGGTCCCGTGCCCACCAGCAGCGGCCGGATGTACAGCGCGCCCTTGCCACATGGCGGCACCTGATTGGCCAGGAAAGATGGCAGACAAGAGTCGGGGAACGGGAGAGGGGAGAGGGGGGAGGTGGAAGCAGGGGGAGGGCAGGAGATGGTGATGGGCGGTGGTGTGGGGTGGAAGGAGGAGAGGAGCGGGCGTGCAAGCCCTGTGTGCGCTCTCCTCCAGGCGCCCTTGAAGTAGTTCCCCACAGGCGACACGTAGTTGAGTAGCGAGTACTCGTGTGCCGGCGCCAGCCCTAGAACTGGACCCGTTCCCACCAGCAGCGGCCGGATGTACAGCGCGCCCTTGCCACATGGCGGCACCTGATTGGGCGGGAGGGAGGAGAGGGGTGCGGGGAGAGGGTTGGAGGTTGTGATGAGTGGTGGGATGGGTAGGAGGAGAAGAGGAGTGGGCGTGCAAGCCTGTGTGTGCTTTACTTTCGTTCTCTTGGTTTTTTCCCAGCACCCCTCTCTTAACTCCCCTTCTCTTGCCCCCTTCCCCCACCCACTCCCCTACACACTTCCCCACACGCGCACCCATTGCAGATTCGCCAGGAAAGTGTCCTCCACCGCCTGCACTGAACGTCAGTGCATTCCTGCATGCCCCAGGTTCGCTTTTGAGTCGACTCAAAATCACAGATTCGCCAGAACAATGTCCTCCACTGCCTGCACTAAAGAAGTAACGTCAGTGCTCTCCTGCATGCCCCGGGTTCTTTCTCTCTTCTCCGTGGCCCCTCTCTTCTTGACTCACCCACCGCAGGCTGGCCAGAACGGTGTCCTCAACTTCCTGCACGAACTGCTCCACGAGGGGAGCAGGCATACAAGCCTGTCTGTTTGCCCTCTTGCATACCAAGCGCTCTCTCTGCCCGCAGTTCTACCTACTCTCCCTAGTCCAACCGCCAGTCGCTCACCCACTGCAGGTTCGCCAGCACAGTGTCCTCAACTTCCTGCACGAACTGCTCCACGAGGGGAGCAGGCATACAAGCCTATCTATTTGCCCTCTTGCATACCAAGCGTTCTCTCTGCCCGCAGTTCTACCTACTCTCCCTAGTCCAACCGGCCAGTCGCTCATCCACCGCAGGTTCGCCAGCACAGTGTCCTCAACTTCCTGCACGAACTGCTCCACGGGGGACCCGGCCATGCTGAGCCAGTCCGCGCTCTCCTCCATGCTTACCCCTACATGTTCCCCCGCCCCATGGCCCCTACATGTTCCCCCGCCCCATGGCCCCTACATGTTCCCCCGCCCCATGGCCCCTACATGTTCCCCCGCCCCATGGCCCCTACATGTTCCCCCGCCCCATGGCCCCTACATGTTCCCCCGCCCCATGGCCCCTACATGTTCCCCCGCCCCATGGCCCCTACATGTTCCCCCGCCCCATGGCCCCTACATGTTCCCCCGCCCCATGGCCTTTCTCCCTTCACTCCCGACACCTCTCAAGGCCCACATACCCTGCCCCTTTTTCTGCTTACCCATCGCAGGTTCGCGAGAACGGTGTCCTTCACCGCCTGGACGAACTGCTCCACGGGGGGCCCGGGCATGCTGAGCCGGTCCGCGCTCTCCTGCATACGAAGGGCGTTCTCCCGCGGGCGGAAGAGCAGCACGCGCCCGTCCGCCGTGCGGTACGCCTTCATGCCCTCGAACACGCCCTGCAAGGCGGGGAATGGGGGAGCAGGAAAGGGCGCGGAGGGGCGCCGGGGAGGAGGAGCCCTAAGGGGTATTCTTGTGACTATGTGTGATCTCTATTCATTCTGAGGGTCCGCACACGCCTGTTCTTCGGTCATTGTTGTTGCGGCGCCAACCTTATCCCACCCGGCCATAGTCGAGCACGCCAGCAGCGGGGGTAATTTATTCTCCGAGACTGGTATAACTAGCTCGATGAGATGTTTTTATGTATCCTAGGTGTTAGGACACGCCTGTCCTTCACCCACCTGGCCGTAGTTGAGCACGCCAGTGGCGGGGCTCATCTCGAAATTGCCGTGACCATTCCCAAAAATCATATCTATTGTTTCTCGATATTCTCCCAACCAGGCCTGCTCTTTGCCCACCTGGCCGTAGTTGAGCACGCCAGCGGCGGGGCTAATCTCGAGGTTGCCGTACGGCCGCAGCTCGCCGTGCTGCCACTCCTCCCCGCGCACGCACTTGGCGACGTACATGTAGTCCGTCTCCACCAGCCCGAACCCTAGATCGTCGAAGTTGATCGGCGCGTCCTCCTTGATCGCTAGCGACGACGGCAACTGAGCGCTGCATTGGCGAACCAAAAACGCGCGGAGATGGCCCGGCGCCAGGGAGGGGGGGTGGGGGGTGGCGTGGGCAAGGGGAAGGGGGGAGGTGGGTGGAGGGAGGAATCGGGGTCCTAACGGCAGCAGAGGAATATGCGTAAAGAAACGAGGGTGAGCAGAGTGTCTGGAAGTTGCTGAAAAAAATATGGCAGGGAAAAATCACGGCCTAATCCCCAAACTGTCTGATCAAGTAGATCAGGCGCGAAGAGAGAATGATACACGCATGCACACACATGAACAGACAGGGAGAAAAGAGTGGTCATTCCCGCACCTGGTGGCCTGGGACTGCTGGACAGTAGCTGTGGCTACGAGGCGAAGAGACCGCGATGAGGACGCCTGCATAGAGAAATCGTTAGGAAAACAATGCGACGGGAGCAAACGGAGGAAAAATGAATGTTCAAATGGAAGCGAAGGTCGGGAGAGTGCTGTGAGCAAATGAAACATGCATTCTGTTTTTTAATGAAGTGCGAAATGACAGAATGCACGACGACTCGTCGCATTGCGACACAACGAGAAAAAGATCCCCATAATGAGCCTTCAAACCTGATCGCTGATCCTAACAAGGAGGGAGACAGGTGCATACTTGCATTTTCCCTGATCCGGAAAACGACGCTTTCCGATCATGGCGAAGCGATAGAAACGAAGCCGTTTGATCCTTCTGAAGGCGTCCAAGCCTGAGGCCATGGTGGCCTGCAAGCGTATTGCTGGTGGCAGCCATGGTCGTAGCTGACAGGATATCGTTTCTTAAATATCAGCGACGTAGGAGCGCGAAGAGCAGGTTCCAGTCGGCGATATCACGACCTTATGATAGTTCCTGAGATTCACGTGCAGCCAGCAGTGAATGCTGGACAAGCAGGTGCTGCAGCGGAGTTCTCAAGGAATGGCTGCTGAAAAGGCTTAGCACGGCAATAGCACAAACCATAAATGTTTCGCCAGTTGAGAGGCTTCCCCCTGATGTCTGAGATCCCTGACAGGATTGTCAGCCTGAAAAAAGTAGCCTTGGGATTGTCGAAGCACTTCGAGATGTGGCCAGAAAGAGATGCTGTGATTGTGAAGAACTTTTGGCGAATCAGACCTTTTATATGAGTACTGATTGGAACTGACACTTACGTCATGCTGAGTGACGCAAGGGAGAGAAACTTCTGATGTCCCTCGGTGGAATTTTCTTGCTCGGCGTAAACCCCAACCCAGCCCAAAACCCTCGACGGGCAGGGCCAACAAACATATCGCACGGTGCATAGAAATGTCCACCCTGTACACTATCACTGACTTTATCTATATATGCGTTTGAATACAAAAAGGTTATCCTCGTAGCGAGCTAGACTTCTTAAAGCTCTAGGCCCAAATTGCACAAGATTACTAATCTTGCGTGGTGAGGGGTGGGTTTGGGAACGTGGGGGTCGAGGGGAGTGTTGGGAAGGTGACCTGTCGGATTTCGCACGTAACACTTGTTTTTTTCGCTGAGTCAGCGAGCTTCCGGGGGAAACGTGAGTTTGGGGACCTCGAGTCCCAAATTGCAGAGTAGTAAAACTCGATGTTTTGGCAGTGAGTTTTTGTTCGACCAATCAGATTGCATCGCACCTACTGTAACCAAATTTTCGCCACACACCAGCACAGAAAACGAGAAGTGTGCAAGATTACTAATCTTGCCCTGCGCGGCCCGCAATTTGGGCCTTGAGCTTTAAGGGGGTCGACAGAAAAGTTGCAGAACAGAAGCCAGAAATTTGCACAAGATACGTTCTGTTGGCGCCCCGCCATTCGAAATCCGTCAGCTTCTCCGTCTTCTAGACGGAACAAGATTGAGACCCAAGCGTCGCACATCCAATTCATTTACGCACGGCTTAGTACGTTACAGAGGAATACAGAGGGATCGAGCCTCCTACAGCGTGGTGAAGAGCCGAACTTCTCCAACACATCACGTCGGTGCATGCACCACGCCAATATGCTGGATGTACGCAGTACTCCTACAAAGTTTTAGCTCTTCATTCCCTTCCTAACTTCTAACTGTAGGAGCTTTTGGCCACTTCACACTCCGCTCCCGACTGCTGTCGTGGACTTCCACTCTTCGGGGTTACGGCTTCTATCTAGTTGATAAGTTAACTTTCGGGTTTGTTTCTGTCCGTGAGATTTCTCCAGCGTCCTTCAGGCGTGTCGGTCCTGTTTCTTGTATATAGTCACACGAATTCAACCGAAGATGCTGCGGGTTGCGGGTGCACGGTCGCATACTCGGCTGGTAACACTTCTACAGCGTGGTTACCACAAGAACGTCGTTGACCATTACAACAAGCCTCGTAACGTTGGATCGTTCAACAAGAACGACCCGAATGTCGGCACAGGTCTAGTGGGTGCGCCGGCTTGCGGTGACGTCATGAAACTGCAAATTAAGGTCGACGAAAACGGAAAGATTGTCGATTCCTGCTTCAAGACGTTTGGTTGCGGATCGGCGATTGCCTCTTCTTCCGTGGGTAAGTGGATCACGTCGTCGTATGCTGTCAGCTGAAATTCGTGTTGCCTGCTGAACTGAGTGTCGCTAGTGACAATGATGCAAGCCTACTGAGCGGGAAGCAAGCAGCTTTTGTTCGTCAGTCTGGACAATAATTATGTCAGTTGGAATCACATACTCGTTTCTTATTGCTCTTTTTTTATCGTGCTCTTGTCTTTTCCTGCAGCCACGGAATGGGTGAAGGGGAAGTCAGTTGACGAGGTTATGACAATTAAGAACAGGTACGTTTTGCCTCCGTCCTAATTACCCAGCATAGTGCCAAACCGTTCTTCCTGTTTTGAGGCGCCTGAAAGCATGCCTCAAATCACATATTGTTTCCTTCCTGCGTCATTCATCCAGCATGCCTTTTCTAGTACCATACCGTTTTGCCTGGGGGGCCCCATCCATTTTACTGTCACAACCGAATTAGTGAGACAGATTACCCTCATGAGTCCGTTCATCTGGATCACCACTGAGTTAGTGATTTGCCGTTTTTTTATATTGCAATTTACGGTAATATCTTAATTGTGGATTGCAACCCATCTTAAGATCAATTCTCCCTTCAACGTTGTTCTCCTGACCACCTTTTATGCTGCAGTGACATCGCCAAGCACCTCTCTCTACCCCCAGTGAAGCTGCACTGTAGCATGCTGGCAGAGGATGCTATCAAAGCAGCAGTCAAGGATCTTCAAAACAAGAGGGGGGTTGTTAATAGTGAGGATGTGAGCGCTGGTGCTGCTGCTGCTGTGCATGCAGCTTGACTTCAGAAGTTTCTACTGGACTCCGGATGCCAAACAGACGCATGTACAGTGTTGTAGTGAAAAGTCTTCTGCAGTATGCTCGTTGGTTATAGAGGTGGACATTGTCTTCTGCAGAAACACCTCACAGGAGAGAAGCAAGCGTTTGACCAGCTGCTGGCAGCCAACCTATGATAAAAAATCAATAGCAGAAATGGCGTCCTAGTGGAGCTAAATGGCTTACACCCTGTCAACAGCCTCCGCTAAGGATCCTTGAATGCTGACAGCAAATCACTGACAGATCAGATCACCATTCCAGTAAATTAGACAGCCACCTCTAGCTTCACCTGGCATTTGAACTGGCTGCCACAGTTACCGTAGTTGAGGGATCATGATCTCATCAGCAGCCAGGTCAAACATCCTCCCGATCGCATTAACATTCTCTAGGATCTCATGAACCGTCCTCGCATCCCCACCATCACATCTCAGATGCGTCATCGGCCCATGCAGGATCTTGTTCATCATGCCTCGGCTCATCTCCTCTAGTAGCTTCCTCTGTTTCGGCGTTACGTCTTGCCCCAGCTTCGCCAGAACCCGGTTCACTTCTGCCTGCCGAATACACTCAATCTTCTCTCTTAATCTCTTGATTGTTGGTACGCTCTCCAGCGAGTCTCTCCACGCCTCAAACGCTTGAATCTCCTCCTCTATAATCACCCCAGCCTCCAGCGCCTTCCGCTTCCTGTCCTCCTTATTAGCTGCCACGACTTCTTTCAAATCATCCACATTGTACACCCGTGCATGCCCCACGGACCCGACGCACGCTCCCACGTTTCTCGGAACAGAAATGTCCACAAAATGGCGCACTCCTGCTGTCAGTTCCCCTGCCAGTGGCAAACCTTGCACGTTTTCCTGATGGAAAAGCAGCTCCTCCGAAGCTGTGCTTGTGAACACCACATCTGCTTCACCCGCTGCTTCCAACAACTCAGACAACGGCCGGAAAACCAGCGTTGCTTCTGGAAACTCCTCTCTAAGCGCATCCACTCTCGCCTCTGTCCGATTCACCACCACCATCTTATCACACCCCTTAGAAAGCAAATGCTTTACTAAAAGCCGGGACATCTTCCCCGCGCCAACAATCATCACCCGGGCGTCCCGCAGCCCATTTTCCGGAAGCTTCATGGCTGTCAGCTCAACAGCAGCAGAGCTCACAGAAACGGCTCCAGACGCGATGCTGGTCTCGGTTCGGACGCGCTTTCCCGCCTCAATCGCCTGCTTGAACAGCCCGTGTAAATTCCGCCCGAATCCTACATTCCCCTGGGAGACTTTGAAGACTTGTTTGACTTGTGCGAGGATCTGGCCTTCTCCTAGGACGAGGGAATCAAGTCCCGAGGCGACGCGTAGGAGGTGGTGGGTGGCGTCTCGTTGACGCAGGACGAAGAGGTGTGGGCGGAGTTCTTCGGCAGGTACTCCGCTTGACTGCATTGGGGGGGAACAACGGGGAGAAGGGGGGAAGAAGAAGGGAAGAGCAGGAGGGAAGAAAGGCCAGGGAGGAGGTACTGAGTGGAGTCTCGCTGGGAAAATCAAGTTGACTACAAAAATGCATCAGGCGAGAGACGGTTTGGTGTTGGGGGAATTCTTGTGGTAACGGAGATTGGGAAAAGATGGAAGGGGGATCCGGGGTTGGGGGAAGGGGGGAAGCGGGGGTGGGGGGGAAGAAGGGGTTGGGCGTGTGGGGGTGTGGGGTGGGGGGCGGAGCCGCGAGAGGGAGCGGTGATAGGGCGGTTTGTTGTTTGGGTGCTGAATTTGCCTACCTTGGACATCCACTGGGTCACTTCGCGGATTCCCATGTGCCACGACCGCGCGACGACGTAGATCTCCATGCGATTGCACGTGCTCAGCACGGCCGCCTCCTCGATGTGCGGACACGCGCTCAGCTCGTGGATGGCACGTGGCCACTCGTGCTCCGGAACCGCGAGCTTCTCCCGGAGCTCCACAGGAGCCGTGTGCACGCTCAAGCCTATAACGAGGATACTCGACTTCTCGCTCGTGTACCCTGAAAATTAAATGACAAGAGCAACGGTTAAGAACGAGATTTTGAAAATAATTCGAGAAAAAAGATGTCTACTGCTGGAATTGCGGATTGACGGCGCAAGGAGCATTGAACCGAGTCTTCAATGAACGGAACTTACTGTTTCCGTTTGACACGCGGATTTGGTCGAGAGCCAAGGCACTGGGACTAGATGTTGGTAACGGGCGAAGCTGTTTGGTTTTCGGGACGGAAAATGCAGCGGAAGTTACGGGACGGGACCCTCGCGACACGGAATTTTTGTTCGACGGTACAGAATCTCTCGATGCTGAACGACGACGACG